TATTGGTTACATTACATGATTGAATTTGAAAGAGAAAAGGAAAGGTCCTGTTTTGGAACAGGAAAAGTGTACGTATTATCACACTATCGTCAAAGTAGCATAATGCTCAAAATAAAAAAGTGTATAAAGTTTATTAGGTACCTTCACCTATATTTGTTGTAGAAAAAGGTATTGATACAGTTTCCTGGTCAGTAATTAGGAATCAAGTGTGAAAGAAAGTAGCTTCCACGTTTCCCATAATTTATTTGTTTTGACTGGAGTGATCTCTTACATTGGATGTTTGACTTTTTAATGATCCTTTCTTGAAAACAGTTGTGACCTCTATCTCCCACAAGCACATCAAATAAATAGATGACAAGTGAGGTCGAAAGAGACTTGAAAAAGAAGTACAAATACATCTCAGAGGGCATCATAAGTGTGTTGGGATATATGTGAATAGCATGCAGTGTATACTCTTCCTCCTCTTAATTCACAGTTGCCGATTCTTGCCACCTGAAATCAGGATCCATAGGCCATTCTTTTTGCAGTTAATTTATTTTTACAGAAAATATCTTTGTTCTCATTTTTTTCTTTCTTTCTTTTTCTCCATCTATTTTTCTTTGTCCCCAGAGTTCAGAATCCAGGGATGTGAGGTTGTGACCATACTATGTTGAGGGAGGGTAAAGATGCATGAAGGAAGGTTAGCAACGTCCAGAGGAATTACAGTAAATGTCTAGGAGGAGGATGACTATATCTAGAGGGAGGGTAATAACATCAGAAGGAGGGTAACAAATCTCTAGGATGAGTAAAAACACCTTAAGGGAGGGCGGAAGGAGGGAAGGGTAACATTGTTAAGAGGGAAGGTAGCAATATGTAGAGGGTGGTCAACATCCAAAGAAAGGACATTAATATCCAGAGAGACAGGAACATCTAAGGGAGGGTAGCAAATTTTCAAGGGAGTGTAAGAACATTGAAAGGGAGAATAGCAAGGTCTTTTGGGGGGTGGGGGATATAGCACCAAAGGGGAGGGCAGCAGTATTTAGAGGGAGAGTAGCAAAGGTAAGTAGGAAGGTAACAGTATCTGCAGGGAGAGTAACAACAATTTTTTTTTGGGGGGGGGAGGGACTTGGGATAATTTGCAGTGCTTTGAAATAAACATTGTGCAAGTATACATGGATATTTAATGAAATCTAAAAAAGCATTTGAAATCTTTAATTTTGCTGCATCATTATTTAATCTACCCCAAAATTGGAGGGACTTGCCAATGAATAATGTGCATGATTTTAAAATTAAGCATCATATTAAGATACAAAAGAAGAGAAATATGAACTGATTGTGTTGAATGATGATCTAATTACCAAGAGGATACTGTATCAGTTTTTTATTTTTCAAAGAATTATAACATGTTTGATGACAAATGAGAATATTGGGAATTGTAGTGTAATTTTAAGTTTCTTATCTTTAATTTTCTTATGCTTTTATACATAATTAGTCATATTTTTAATGATTGGATCTAAGACTCTCACAGATGAAGAAATATATTGCTCTGTTACATATTATGTCTTCCTTCCTTAAAAGTTTTAGAAGCATATTTCATATAGGTTTATTAAAGAGTAATCCATTCATGCATATGTGAATATGGTCTTACACACACGTAAGAGCTTATTCACTCTCTCTTTATCACCTCACTTGCTCACTCACTCACTCACCCACTCACAGCTCACTAACACTTACTCACCCGCTCATTACTCGCAAACTCATTGCTCACACTTACCCATTACTTAAACTTACTCACTCACTCATTATTTGTTTGTACTCACTCACTCACACCATTCACTCTCATATACCCACACATACACATTCAAACTCACATACACACACCCTCACACTCATACACTGTCACACTTACATACACAGTTACATAAACACTCACATACACACTCACACTCACGCTCACACATACACATATGCACACATGTACATTCACACATGCCACCATTTTTATTGTATTTCAGTTGTAATCATCAGTATGTAATGATCTCAAATCATACAGTTATACTGAAATATTAGTAAATTTAATGAATTGGTCATCTTTTTACACAAAATCATGAAGAGAGAAGAATAAAGTTGTAATGAGGATTTTGTTTGCACTGTATTCCATTCTCTAGACAATAATTAGTTATATTATGGGGGGAGGGAGAATGATTTTGCATCAAATCAGAGAAAATTAAGGTAATAAATATCTATTGCAGTCAGTTTGAAGGTGCAGAAATAAAACCCTAATCAAGAGTTGAAATTAGAATGAAGATTTGTTACAAACACACATATGTACGTGTTCAAAATTAACGGCAATTACTGAAGGGAGCTGTTATGTAAAAGCTATCCACGGGCCTAATTCTAATTCTCAACAAGTGAACTTTTTTGCTTTTTCACTTTCATAATGTTGGAATACAAATCGACACAATCTTTGCCGTTTTAATGTAATGATTAAAATTAATAATAATATAGAAATAAAAATAAAAATAAAATTAAATTTAAGTCACATAAGAAATAGAAAGAGTTCTCCATCAGCAAGTATATTCACCGTGCAAGTGAAGTGAGTGTTCATAAATTAGACTTGCAGTATTGTTGTTTTGCACATAATCATTACACTTTTCAAGTCTTCCTCTTACGTTTTGAGAGGCTACTGACAGACTTTGAATTTTTTAATATTTAATAATTATGAATTAAGTCCTTAGAGGGTTTGTGGTTTTAATGGAAGAAACCCAAGTACACTAAGGGAAACAGTCAGAGATAACATATTTCTTATTACATACACTTGTGGTTTGGAGGTGTAGATGTCAAAAATAAGAGAGGGGTTCAGTATTAACTTTATTTAAGATAATTTTGTACTAATTCAAAATGAGTTAGAAATTCTGTAAGATGTCTTCTGTTACTGTTTAACTTATTTGATTTTTTTTTCTTTTTTATTATTTTATTATTACTATTATTATTATTTTTTATTATTATTGTTGTTGTTGTTGATATTATTATTTTTTTATTTATTTGTTTATTTATTTTTATTATTATTATTATTATTATTATATTATTATATTATTATTATTATTATTATTATTATTATTACAAAATGATAAGCTGTATTTCAAAGTTTTAGAAGTGTTCATGCTTTTATAATTATCTTCCAAGTCAATGGGCCAATGGGTTAAGCAAAGGTATTGGTTGTTCACTAAATGAATTTTAGTTTTTAAACTGTTAAACTTTTGTGAGAATATATCTATTCATTCTGTCCATTGTTATGCTATACTTTGTCTTGTGCGGCTGCAAAGCTGAGTATTTCTTATGTACTACTGGTATCTTTAGTTTTTTTGTATATTCACTCTGTATTTCATGTCATGTAAATTGTGTCACCGTTTCCATGTATTTTATATGCATCTACATAATTACATTGTCACCTTTTCATAGAGGATGTTTTTTCTTTTATTTGTATTATTTCATGCTTCACTAGTGTTAAAGTTGAATGGAGTTATTAAGTGATGAAGAAAAAAAACA